ATAAGTAAATAATTTTTCTTTTAATAACTCGAGTGTCTTAAGAAATTATCTACCGTAAATAAGATTCGTTGGTCACTTGACTTTTGGATTCAAATGGTTGTTTTAATTTTAAATTAAGACAAACTGAATAAACTAGCATTTAATAATTTTTAATTTCAAAAGAATTGTAAAATAATAATAATAAAAAAAAGTGAGCCTAGGCGCGCATTAGCGGTCAACAACTGTCGTTGATCGTCAAATAAGACGCTAATCCATTAGGCTTGACGTTTTGGTCTCGCCTCTTGCGTAGGCGCACCTTTTAGAACACTGTTCCAGGAAGTCGACTCGAGCGTTTAAGACTGTTGGCACCATTTGATCCAGGTAGCATAAAGGCGTTACATGCAAATCAAGCAAATTAATACGTAAAGTGATTTGCCTCTTTTTATTGATTTTTCCCAATGCTGTTTGACTTTTCTCTCACAAAATCTGGGGGAGAGGAGGTTAATCACGTGCACGGATTTGAAATCGTAATACCAAATCCTACTTTTCATTTATGAATATGAATATTCGGATTCAACCTCTGCTCATTCTATTCCTTCCTCTCTGCACCTCCATTAATGTTCCGCTCATTGCTTTTAGACGTTAAGAAATTATTACCCGCTTGTTTTTGTTCATTTGGTCGTGGACTCGCGGTGGGATTAAAATTAAGCCTAATTAAAATCAAATTTTTAGTAAATTTTGATAAAAATTAATTAAACGTGTAATTGAAAAGTTATTACTCTCATGAAATTTGTGGTTAAAATTAATTGTTAATTTTGACTTCAAATTAAAATCAGATTTTAATTTGTACCAAACATGGGCTAAATTTTTATCAAATTTTAATAAAAATTGATGAAATATATAATGGAAAAATTATGAATTCCATAAAACATGTGTTTAAAATTAATTATTAATTATGATTTAAATTTAAATTTTGATTTTAATCCCCATCAAATCGGACTTAGAAGTTTTGACTCCTAGGCCCACATTGGTAATGCTCACTTAGTCTCGCATTATAGGCTATCAAAATAAGGTTGACAACCTTTTTTTCACGCATTTTCCATATATTGTGCGGCTTCTTCACACATTGCGACTAGCCCCATCTTTCTCCCCTTTTAGAACATTGCACATACCAACTCATGTTATGCATAAAGCGCAACATTTTTGTGCTGCACTTGATATATTGTATCTGAGCAAATATAAATTTGTATTCATGTCCTATTCCCAATCAATTTAAAAAGTTGTGCACGTGTTAAGTTTTAAAGAGAAAAAATATCTGAGCTTATATATGATGGAGTGTATTAAAGATGAGATAGAAATCGTGTAATTCTTTTACAATTTATACTTGTAGATGATTGAGATTTTTTCTATTGGAAATTGTTCATAAAACAACTTGGATAAAAACTAGAGATGACTAATCAACTTGAGGGGGCGTTTTGTCATGAAGTTAAGAGGGACTTTAATTGGCTCTGATTTCATTTTTTAGTATTTTTCACCTTTATTTTCGTTTTTCATCTATTTTTTTCAATTAAAAGTTATGAAACGACAAATACGACATCCTATTCAAATAAAACAAAAAGCAAAGAAAAGAAAAATAAAATAAAGAACTAATTTAAATAATAGTCCCAACATTTCAAAATATTACAAATGAGTTCCAAATGTATAATTAAAAATTCAACCTACAAAAAAAAACCAAAAACTCTGGCCAACCACCACCCAAACCGCCAGAACTCTATACCATTGGACAACCCTCACTCCCCTTTAAACATAATCTCAGCCACCAGCCCTAACGTCACTAGATTTGGTCGGAATAAATGGCCAAAATCTTCCTCGCACGCACTTACTATCCCTATTCGATCATCATATGGAGGCTGAATGGTTGAAGACCCATAGATGGAATTGATGCATTGTGATCAGATGATGC